TAAAAAATATTGCAGTACATATCTCTATGCCTTCTGTCACTTTTATAAGTGCCACATAAACACTTTCCATAATTTGGAAAACTTTCATAGACCCATTTAAAAATGTATGGTATTATTATAAATAATATGGTGGATAGCAACAGCAGCTAAGGTAGGATTGGTCAAAAACATGTATTTAAGGCGGGGCTTAGCAAAGCATCGGCAGTGGCTTTCTTTCCCAGTCATGAAAATCTGCGTGTTAAGAATTAAAAGAAATGCAGTATTTTTTTTTCTAGCTTGACACAACCAAGGTCAAATACAGCAAGTAGGCTACATTCCCACATGTAAAATCATGAGAATTGAGAATCGATATGAAAGGACCTTGAATAAAAGAATCAAAGTGATCAGTGTGTGTGCATGTGAATAAAAAAATAAACATTACTGTCCCGCACAAGCTCTAGAATGTGAATCCTGCCTTTAACTAGTACTGCGCAACAAGACAAACATTATTATTCTTAAAACTGTCTATTCACGAGATGCCATAATAAACAGCCAGTATCCTTATTATCAAGGGATATGCAAAACTCCACATTTCTAAGCAACAGCCATCTATAAAAAACCGAGACGGCAAAGAGAAATTATTGCAATAGAATAAATAAACTTTTTGAATTGTAAATGTATATAATTCCTGTGGCTCATTTAAATGAGAAAAATGAGATTAGAAGAGCAGCTTGAAATCATGTAACTGTTACACTGCTCATTCAGTTAGAGTCGGGGGCAATAAATTTAACTATTATCAAACTGCATATTCATAAGAAAATAAAAGACATCTGGAGCAATAATGGCTTTGTTGTGTAGACGACGTGCTATCATTTTTTTATGCATCACGTTTTTCTAACATTTATTTAGATTTACTATATAAACCATTTTGCAGACATCCATAGCAACTAACACAAAAGTGCTTTATATTTATATAAGCTTTATTTTTATTTTTTTTATAAATGGTCTTTAAATACTGCATAGCAAGTTCAATCTGATCTGATATCTGATTTTGTGTTAAAGTGATTAGGCGGCAAATACAAAACATAGGCTGTCAAAATTGGAGTGAAGCAAATCTCATGAACAGCCTCACATAAAGCTTACCATTCTTTGAACTTAATTGCCACATGGCTTTTATTTTGCCTCAAAACAAAGCACAATGTTAATTGAACAAAATGGGTTCATTTATGTGTTAGAAATGGGTCTGCAGAAGTCCCTGTTCTACACATCTCCCAGGGTCACTTTGCCAAGCGCAGCAGAAGACAGAGCAATTCATCACTATGAGCTAATGAGAGCAAGTTCGAGGTGCAATAAAGACACATAGTTAAAGTTTACACCCTTGCAGAAGCACTGAAATTGTGCCCAACGCAGGGCCAAAAGGTGCTGTGTCAGGACACAATCACTCCAGTTCAAAGAAAAACCATTTTGTCCTGTTCCGTTCAAGCGAGGTTAAAGGGATATTTCACGCAAAAGTCCTGTCACCCTCATGCTGTCCCAAACCTGTACGACTTTCTTTCTTCTGTAGAATACAAAAGGTGTTTTTTTTTTTTTTTAAGAAATCCTGACCTGAATGAGGCTTTAAAGGAGCAGTAAGCTATTTCTGAGAATCACTGTTGATATTTGAAATCAACCCAAGCAAACATGCCCCTCTCTTCATTGCTCCGCCCCCAAAATGCACGAACACTCAATGCAAGAGTGGATGTCTATTCTGAAGCGAAGCAAAATAAAACATAGATGACAAATGAAGAACAAAAAAAGAACATACAGTACACAAGAGTATATACAAGCAAGAGTTGGTTGTTAGCGCCAGCAGCTCCAGACAAACAATGAACTCAAAACCAATGTTACTCACGTATGGAGCAGAAACAACACAACCTTTGTGTCTGTTTTCAGGCATTCCCGCTCAGGTCTCTCCAGTGCTGGAAAGCTTTTCTAATATTAAACTGTGTCCTAAAGCTCTTGCCTGATTATAAATCTTCTTTTTCCAGTGATATTCCTCTGACCTTTTCTCTTTTGTAATGTCTCTCAGCCATCTCCCTTTCTACAGTCTTCAAATCTCCCTCTTGTTCTCTCTCTCTAACCTCCCCCATAATGAGTGGACACACTCCCCCTACTGCTGATTGGCTCTCTCTCCTCCCCCATCATGAGTGGACACGCCCCCTACTGCTGATTGGCTCTCTCTCTCTCCTCCCCCATCATGAGTGGAGACTCCCCCTACTGCTGATTGGCTCACTCTCTCTCCTCCACCATCAGGAGTGGACACGCCCCCTATTTCTGATTGGCTACAAGTGTGTTGTGCTACTCAGCCCAATCCACTTTCAACAGTGTTTCTCAGAAATCACTTACTGCACCTTTAAGCTTGAAAATGACACAAAAGCTCCATAGTCGAGCTCCATAGTGGGAAATACAAACAAATTCAATTTGTTATAAAAAATGTCTTTGGCCTCCTCTTGTAAGAAGTATCGTGAGCACATAAGTTGTTTTTAGTAGGATATTTTCAGTGAATCAATTGTTCCGATTCGCAAAACGTTTCTGAATGATTTGTTCGCTAATTTTACAGATCTGGTTCAACTCACTGAATCAATGATTTGGTCGCAGTGATTAACAGCGCACAGAGGACCAGTTTTCAGTGAATAGCATCTTAAAGTTTGTTTGCAGTCCTCATAAACTTTCATTATGGAAAAGAGTGACCAAGCTATTCATCAAAATTTCACCTTTTGTGTTCCACAGAAGAAAGAATGAGAATTTTTGGGTGAACTAATCCTTCTACACATTCAAGGCAGGTAATGGCAGCACTAGCTGTCTAGCGTACTAAGCTATCCGCAGTGGGGTCTTAAGATTCACAACTCCAGGTGGCGATTTATTCAGTAGAAGTTCAGAGGCGACCGGATTCACCCTAGTCTGCGCTCGCTCGCTCAAAGTTAAACCCAGGAGACAAATCAGCCTGCCGCAACCCCTGCTGGTTTTAAACTTGTTGTATATCGCCAAGAATTGAGTGACTTTGGTCCTCGCAGGGCTGTGAGATATGACAGGTCTTTGGTAGCTGTTCAGCATTCGTTTGTAATGATAAATCCCCCCCACCCCTCCCTCCTGCCGCCTATTGAAAGTCAGAATAGAACATTGGCTTTGAATTGATGTTGCTTGGGCTCCAAAACTCAAAGCAGAATGACATGCTGGGGATGTTTCTGTGATCCGGCATGGAATAAACACCAGTTTGCAACTCCTCAATTTGACCGCATGGGGATGTCATATGGCGGTAATATAATATATATATATTGGATGATGTATACATGGAATGCCAAACACAATAAAATATTCAGTGGCTACAGAAAATGCATTCTAAAAGCTTTTTCAGTAATATTAATGTATTTAAGCATCATGAAGATGTCAGTGTGTATGTATTTTTCCAAAGCTCATGAGTCGTAAGATTTAAAAAAAAAAAAAAAAAAAAAATTGGTTTTAAGTGATGCACCAGTAATGGCATTATGGGTCATTGAAAGAAATGAGGCAGCAGCAGTAAAAACATCAATTGTTTAACCTATTACCTGTAATATGTTTAAACATAATAATGATTATATGTTTATAAAGTTATCCCATCTTTTGTTTTAAACTAGATTTGTATATTTGCTTTGTGGTTGCTAATAGTTTTCTGGTTGGTTACTAGGTGGTAAAAACAATTTGCAAAAAAACAATTTGCGAAAAAAGCAGCGTTTCCATCCCATGTGTTCAAGAGCTCAAAATCTTCAGTGGAAATTTGTGCAAAATGGAAATGGAAGCTGTAGCTACTGTGCCTGTTTTATTAAATGTGATAAATGACTTGCAGTTTAGAGCATGCAGACTAAGTGCCTTAACAAAACAACAAAAAAGAGATGGAGACATCTTAAAGGGAAAATTTAGCCAAAAATGTAAATTCTGTCATTAATTATTCACCCTCATGTCGTTTCAAACCCATAAGCCATTCGTTCATCTTCAGAAAAAAAAGCAGATATTTTAAATGAAATCTGAGCCAGTTCTGTACTCTCCATTGACAGCTACTTAACTACCACTTCCAAGCCCCAGAAAGTTAGTAAAGACATCATTAAACTAATCCATGTGACTCCAGTGGTTTAACCTCAATTTTATGAAGCTACGCAAGTGCTTTGTTTATGCAAAAAAAAACATAATTTACCACTTTATATACAAACTATTCATCTCTGACGTGCATTGTGTCTTTACTACCTATTTTGGAGCTTGAAAGTGGTAGTTGCGTAGCTGTCAATGGAGTGATAGAAATCTCTCAGATTCCATTAAAAAGAATGTCTTACACTTTCGGATGAGGGCGAGTAAATGATGACAATTTTTTGGTGAACTAACCCTTTAAGAAATCAGTCCAACAAGTTGAGTAGTACAAAAAAAATTACCCAGACCTGAACCTACCCATGATTCCAATGGGAAAAGCACACAAAAGTCATACAACATGTTAATGATTTCACATTTTTGTCACATTTTGGAAGCTCTATTTGCATCTGGGTCTGATGTGATATTTTATAATATATTATATTATGATATTGTGGTCTCTAAACATGGTCTGGGTAAGTCAGTGTGATTTTTTTTTTTTAGAATTTCGTCTAAAAAATCAATAATAAGCCACAAGTCTGAAAGTCTCCATAAGAAAACCATAAGTCTGATCCTTTAGAAAGCGAACCTTTCCTCAACAACCTGCACCATTTAACACTTCATTTATGTAGCACGATGGTTACGGTTCATGCATCCTTCGGTGTGATTTGTAATTGCGTGTTACAATATCTAAATTGAATGGCATCAAGTGAAAAATGAAATGACTGCCTGCTCCAGCTGAGATGCTCACAACTGTATTTAGTGAATTGTGGGTAGTAACGAGTCCATGCGTCTTATATTAACACGCCGACCCATAATTGGCTAATTATAGCGGCCGTTCCACCGGCGTCTTTTCACGCCGTCCTCTCCTCCTCCTCCTCTTCCAGATCCCAACGCTCTGACGCAGCACGGTCCCGACCACGCTCTCATCGGCGGAGTGGTGGCCGTGGTGGTCTTCATCACCCTGTGCTTCATCATCGTCCTGGGCCGATATCTGGCCAGGCACAAAGGTACGCCTTCCCTCCCCTCTCTCGGCCCCCCCTCCCCTCACCTATAGTGTGCAAAATGCTTCAACATGTCCACTGTTGTACCTTATGTGTCTATGTGACCTATGTGGGACTGTGTGGACAGGGACATACTTAACCAATGAGGCCAAAGGAGCGGAGGACGCCCCTGACGCAGACACTGCCATCATCAATGCGGAGGGGAACCACGCACATGCAGAGGAAAAGAAAGAGTACTTCATTTAGCACCTCTGTTTTTTTCTGTTCAGTATTGTCACGGCAACACTGCGAGCCAGCAGAGGAGGCGTTATAGCGCTCCGCTCCCTAACAGCACTAGTCTGGTCTGGCTTTGTCTCTGTTTGCGAAACCTCTTTAAGGCCAAATTCGACACGCCACCTGCTGAAAAAGAATGTTGCCTCTTTTTAAACGATTCTCAATCGTCCAAAAAAACCAAACAAATCTAAAATCAGTTGAGTTTGTAACTGTAACACCAGGTCCATTTAGGCCAAGAAACCCTATCCCACCCCTCCAAAATGACCCCCGTTTGATTTGCAAAGTGCCAAAATATACAGACATGTGCTTGTCATGTTTGTTGCTGTGTTTACTCATTTAATTTCCCAGTGAATGCTGATTTCTCAACCACCCTCACTGTGCCTGTTATATACCTTTTTACAGATATTACCAGGGAGCGGCAAGAAATGTGGTTCATCTCAAGTCGGAAAACCTTGGCTTTGCCAATAATTACGCTTTAAGACAAGAATATGTGAGATGTATAATGTAAATATCATGTACTGTGTGTGAGTGTATGTTGTTTTCCATTGTGAAAGTGGGTGTTTTTTTTTTTTTTTGGAAGTACGCCCTGTAATAAAGAATATGCCCAAGAGACACGGACAATTATGTAACATACGGAAACCCGAAACAAGCCGGCAAATTGAAAATGGCAGGAAGTCGATGAAGCACAAATGAGAATTGGTGTGTAACCATTAGAAGCGAGATTATTTTCTATTTCCATCATACCTGTCTGTATATTCTTGCACTGTTAATATCCCCCCCCCCCCTTTCCACCCCGAGCGTTTATTTCAAAACTGAAAATGTACCAAACATAAGCACAAAGTCATTGTAAAATGTCATTGGTTTAGACAGTCTCAGGATGAAAAGAAGAGCCTAATTGAATTTGTCTTTTATCAATCGAGTGAATGAATTTTTGTTCTCGCTTTGTGAATTGATCTAAACAGCCATTTGTTCGACGTTTGAATGGAAGTTTGCCATTGTTTCATTTTCTTTCGCTGACCGACCCTTGTTAATATTGCTGTATATTACTTTGCTAAAGTGATTATTGGTGGAATATTGTTAAACTGTAGGATCCCATATATATATATATATATATATGAGAAAACAAATGTCAAAATATCTATTTCAAGTGTCCCATACATTTAGTTCATATAAGTGAAGAAAATATTTGTTTGATAGTTTGTTTTGTCCCAACCCAGGGAATGTATATAATGTGTATACTTAAGCATTTGGTAAGCTATTTAATTGAATTTGCTCTGTTTTATTCTACATGTGTGCAATTTAATTTTAGCCTCTCTACACTAAGTATGTCCCCACGGATACTTGTCATTGATACTAATTTATTGGGTAAATCTGATGGACAAACACAATACATTATTATTAGTGCTTTTTATAAGCTTGTGAACGGATAGGACCGTTTGTTCATGAGAAGGTCAGAACAACAATCACCATTATTGCCTTTGTGTTTGCAACAAAACATACGACCACACATTGAAGCTCTGGAGAAAGCGTAACCTTCAATGTACGTTTTTACGAAACATGTTTCCAGTGTTCATACTTTATTTCACTCTTTATAACATCAACTAGAACTGAGACATTTTTCTAAGAACTTTTGATTTGCCCTATTGTTTTTTGCTGTATGGGATAATGTGTGAGGTTGCTTTTACATTAAATATTCAACTTTTTCAAACTATGCCTCTGTAAAAAAAAAAAAAAAAAAAAACCTCAGAGTACTGAGTAAAATATGCACAAACTCAGATTTGTGTTTTCTTCTTCATGCAACACATAAGTGAACACAGAACCGATAATATTACACACACACACACACACACTCATATATAGTTCATATTTGTAAATGTATTTAATTTTGATATGTATTGACAATGTTAGATAGATTAAATACATTTTATACAATTTATATAATTGTATAAAAGTTCTAAATATATATATATATACATATGTATATATTTAAAATTGAAGCCTTTACTATATATATATATATATATATATATATATATAATTATGTATATATATATATATAAAATGTCATAGTATATGGTCTATATAAATTAAATTCTACACGTAATCTAATATTATTAATATATGAAGTTAAATGCAATTCTAAATATGAATAATACATATACAGTATATATATATATATATATATAATTTGAATAAAATGATACAAAAAAGTTTTGAAATAAAAATGAGAATAAAGAAATAAAAATAAAGAATATATATTAGCTGAATGTAAAGTATATAAAAGTATATGAAGTTAAATAAAATTCTAAATATGAATAATATATATATACATTAATTATTGCTAATTTGAATAAACTTATACATATGAAATAAAAATGAGAATAAATAAAAATAAAGAATATTATATATATATATATATATATATATAATATATAATAAAATTTAATTTAGTTTTTTATTTAGATCTATTTATATAAATGATATGCAGTCTTATTTTTGCATTATATTTAGCGGGTTAAGATATGAGTAAACCAGGTCCTTGAGCTGGAATGATGGAGTAATCTATAATATTCACTGAAGTGGGCTTGTATTGTGATTTTCATGGCTACATGCTGCCACCAAGAGCCTGGAGCTCTCAGCGCACGAGTGCGCGGCCCTAGGCTACTTCTTTTCTCAAAGCTCTGTTTATTGTCTCCAACTTTAAGTGGCTTTCTGCTGAAACGTTCAAATCCTGTCCTTCTTCCCACTGTGCCATCATGGCTACAGCTTTCCATGATCCATAGTGCGAGTTCGAGTTGCCAGAAAAATTACAGGAAAGGATTTGAGGGAGATCAAAAAAATTTCGGAAGGAGCAATGCAGTGTGTGTGCAGTCTTAAATCTAGACTGAGGCTTAACACAATAACCGACACAAAACCATTACATTTCTCTGCGCTCACAAAGATTGTATGCTGTATGTTTAAATGTTAGATAATGCTGGTGGGTCAACTTCAATTGATGGAATTAGCCATTGAAACTGAATAGACATTACAACACAACAACTGAAACTGATCTATTTTCAAATGGGCTTCTACATCTACAGTATGAACCAGTTTGGGGTTGATGATCATTCAGACACTCAGAGAGGGCTCTGGGCCAATTAAAACATGAAGCTAAATCCCACTGATTATAAACAAAACATGAGCTATTGTAGTTGTTGATGGTGTTTAGTAGTAGTATTACTACCACCACTACTACTAATCTCATCAAAATCATTAAAATCCTAAAAATAATGTTTATCTTTAACCTGGTTATGTCAAAGTAACGAGTCTTCATTTAAATGCTACAGTAGTTGTTGTTAGTTATAAATAGACATATCTCAGTAACCATGAGATTTTGATTTTGAACCTGCCATCTGCGTAACATCCCAAGAGACTTAATTATTAGGATTGATATTTTCCCAGTGCAGTTAACATGGAATATTTTTTGGCGTGTTACCAATTTGCTGTTCAGCTGTAATTTGAGATTTCAAAGCAGGGGTGAAGCCAGAAATCTCCAAGTGGGTGGATCTCTGTGAAACGGGGAGGACTTCGATTCTGTGCCTCTATCCAATGATGTTATTTACTATTATGTAGGAAGTGAGATTTAAGGGTTATACTTATAATGTTCTATGACTTTAAATAGGATTTGGGATAATAGCGCGAGATCGCGGGAGAAAACAGTCTGCAGCAGTTGTGATAGTACAGAGAGAGAGATGAGACCCACTCTTTAATCGGCTGCGGAAAATTCATGATGTTGCCTCTGATTGTTCAATAAAACAAGTGTTGTAATCACCGGAGCTCCTTGTCAGTGTCCTCCCTACAGTGGCGATAACCCGATTAACTGAACACGGAACAGCGCTGGGTAACTAAAGCGCGTTACAATTATATTAATGTTTTTGAACGAAAAAAACAATCCCAGTTAGGGTGACAACTCCGGACAACAAAAGACATTTAAAGCAACACCATGTGATTTTTCCTCAGCGGTCGCCCTACAGGTTGGAAGCAGAATTGTCCATTACTGCTGTCGTAAATAATTTAGCCTTCCGCAGCCGACTGTCGCACGCGCACGCTCGCTGTTTATCCAGCACTGGCTTTGGAATGAACAATGGCAGACATCCCAACCTGCAAGAAGTCATTTCAGGGAGGTATATCTTGGTGACTGGATTGTTGACGGGGGGAGGGGGAGGGGGTGCGCCTGGTGGCGGGTTGACTAGCTTTCGTGAGGCACACTCGCAAGGTCTCTCGCTCTCTCTCTCTCTGCCGTGCTCGCGCTATGTATGTTATGCGCGCAGTATGTTCTGTCTCGCATGCGCGCTCTAGATTCCGGCAGATCTGAACTAATTTGCGGGCATCAGGGAGACGCAGGAGACTCCCGGGAGACTTGGGATGTCTGCAATGGCCACAGACAATTTGAGGAAGTGGTGGGGGAAGTGACGTATGCCGTAAAGCAGTCGAATTTTGTAGTTCTTTTTGTGCACGGGTTCCTACCCGAAACCCGAAGTTACATAGTGCCAGTAAAAGCGATACAGACCACGTCAGGCTATGGCAGACGTGTCATTTAACTTATTTTAAGTCGATGTGCCATCACAAGGGTCTTGGAAATATATTATGAAGGTTGAAAAACTACATAGTGTTACTTTAATAATGGATTATAAACATAAAAAGAATAGGCCTACTCCCTACTTTATATAACTGAGTCAAAGACATTGGACGTCGGATAGACCATCTATTCGACGTCTAAACTAGGTCTAAACTAGGTCCACTATTTGGACGTCCAACCATGACCCAACTTGGACGTCATGTTGTCGTTCAACATTTGACCTTTGAACTGGGTCATTTTTTTGGACCTCATTTGGACGTCTATGACAGGTGCAGGAAATGTACATGATTAATATGCAATATTTTTTTATTTACAAATATCAACATGATTAATGCATATGAATACAGATTTTTTATAATTATTTAAATAATTATAATTATCCAAAAACTCTGTTTGATTGTCTCAGCAGCAGGTGATAACTGGAGATGCTGTAGTTCAAACAGTAGAGCGTTGGCGCTTGCAACACCAAGATCATGGGTTCGATTCCCAGGGAAAGCAAGAACTGATAGGAATGTAAATGTGTAATGCAATGTAAGTTACTTTGGATAAAAGTGTCTGCCAAATGCATAAATGTAAATACATGGTATAGAAAACATGTCCTCCAGCCTTTTGAAACATGGGACTAGTTATAGAAGTTGTATAAAAACGACGTCTAAAATTTTAATGTTGAAAAGACGACCACATTTGGTCCCATGGACGTCAACATTAGACGTGCAAATATCAGTCAACAACATCAGTGGCTACCTAATCATGTAACAAAATAAATCTTAATACTTCATGAACTTACTGTAATACATTTTTATTTAAAGTTGCTAAATGCCACGAGTTGGGATTTTTGCCTACAGCATTTCATTTTTGCTCAGGTCTATGTTTATTTTTAAAGTCACTCACACATATA